CTGTCAACGGCAAGGGCTGACTAGTCATGAGCCCCTTGCCGATTCCATGGGTGGGCGCAGGTCTAAACCTCTCGCCGACTACTTCCACCTCAGAGCCACTATCACTCTCGGTATCCTGGCCCAACTCCTCACTCTCGGTATCCTGTTGTCTGTCAGGAGACTCTCCATTGTAAGCGTTGGGCTCGCTCTTGAACCCAGACTCGCTATCAGACATCTACAAAAAGAAGCAAAAAGAAACTAAGGGCGATTCCGAGAACTATCCTACCGATGCCTACGCCTCTACCTATGGCAACTTGACTACCGAACCACACCCCACTTGCATAAAGTTCTAAGTCTAGTTCAAACCAAGGAAGGACGTACGCATAACGAAAGGAAAGAAATTATAAAGTGTAAGGACGGTACCTTATGAGAACTGAAGTGTAAGGACGAAAATCGCTGCGCCTCCCGAATGATCTCACCGGAAATCGCCTCTGTTACCGTTGCTCTAGCCGAAAATCGCCTTGGTTACCATTTGCTCTCGTCGGAAATCGCTTAGACAGAGCTCTCGCCTCACTCACAAACGCAAAGTGAATTCCGCCTCAGAGACCACTCCTATTTATAGGGCAAAAGTTGCGACGGTACACCTCGAAAAACCAAACGGTGCATTAATGGCGCCGCCCTGCGTGATTTGACACACCACGTGTCGCACAGTGAGCGGAACCTCTGACAACACGATGGGTACAGAAGACGAAGTGTCGCTCTGTCCCATCACTCCCCCTCCCAGTGAGTGGATCTCGAAGGAATGACCAAACTTGCCCAAGTTAACAAACAATCGACGAGTCCTCTCGGAACCCCTTCGACGCGCCAGAAGCTACCGAACGGTAATCCTCACAATGGCGATTCTTGAGCTCCTAGGCAGATTCCTGAATGAATCGGCACTAGGACAAGCTACCGAACGGTAGAGCAACCTTAGCGGCCACCGAAGAAGAAACAAGTCCCCAACCGAGAAATCTACCCTGAGAACTTGGGGGACTCCTATTTACACCATAATGAATGGCCAATTGGAGTAGAACACGTGGACATGATCGAGTCTGGTCAAGATTGCCTTCGGCACCCAGAACCTGGTCAAGATTGCCTTCGGCACCCAGGCTACCGATCCTGTCATTAGGGAAACACCCACTTGAAGGAAACGTGGCGCGCTCACAATCGACGTCCACAGTCCCACATCGAAATTCTACATCAAATGCACACCTCCCAAGGCCTATAAAAGAGGCCAACTACCCCAAAATAGAGGTAATCAGAACTTACGGCATACAAGCCTATTGATCTGTCAGTTGAACTTTCTAATCCCGAACTTACTTAAGCATCGGAGAGCCTTCGGCCGGTACCACACCGGTGCCCTAGGTCTTACCGGGCGTTTGCTCATATTGCAGATCACGCTCCCTACCGAGGCCTCAAGGATTCCGAAGGCGTAAAATTACTAAGTTGACCCTCAGAGTCAGAGAACCACTTTTTGGCGTCAACAAGAGACTCTGAGGGAAAGTGAAGAAATATGTATGCCTGTGGTGGCTGGAGCATGCAGGGTTGAATTGGTAAAAGGCCTCCTCCATTGTTGCTAGCTGGACTTCGAAGTCTTCTCCCATCTCTATCTGTAACTAGGAAAAATTGGACAGAATTAAAACAGGGGCAAGGACTTGACAAGTAACCATCACTGAAGAAAGTTGATACACAATTCACACACACGCTTGCGTGCTCTGAGGTTCCCATGAGTGGTGCCACAATCTACATGTAGCAGGTTGGGACTTGGCATATAAGGCTGTTTAATTCAACCAATTAAAGTGCTGAAAGAAACCCATCAGAAACCATCAGAGCCAAGTCAAAGAAAGTAGATGTTGTTAAATGTTCATGTTGAATTTCTGAGTTGGAAGAATTGTATAGCTGAAGGTAGTTCCGGTTAAAACGAACTGAAAATGTTACCATGAGGAGGTTATTTTGTATTTTTTTACTTTCTATAAAACTTTGCTGGTACGAGAAAATTTATTGAAAAATAAAGTTTGAAGTCACAAACAAATTAAACTATTTGATAACCCTTCTGCCTTGGTCAATAAGTTTGAAGTTCCATCCTAGAAAGTCAACCTTTTGAAGCTCCATAGGCACAGTCTGACGCATTCCTATCTCTATTGGCCAGCAAGAGTTTTCCATTGCATCTTCACAGAAAGCACAACGCACCGAACAAGCCTTCTCCATAATTCTCTAGACTTGCCATTTTCACATTAACAAATCCCCCAAAAAAAAAAAACAGAGTATTTTTTTTTTAGGAAAAAAAATATAGTACCTTTTAACATTTTCGAAAAGCCACACCTATTGGGCCCATTCAAATACAACCATAGACCAACAAAAAACCCGAAAAAAAAGAAGAAGAAAAAGACACTAGAAAGGAAGAAACCCGGCAAGTTTCCAGTGGACCAAGAAAGTGTTGGTTTGAACTTTTCAGTCGTTAATTTGAAAATGAGAAGATTCTTAACCCGGAGGAGGTCCTGGAAGCAGCAGACTACAAGGAGGTTGTTAAAATTAATGCACACTTGTGTCTTGAATAATATTGAAAAATCTAGCATAATGGAGAATGAGCAAACCGACTTAGCAAAGTCAGTGAATCTAAAATATCATAATATCAAAGTATGCTTTAGTATAAAATAATCGAAGTGTTGTAATATAATAAACTAACCGACTAAGCTATGTCGGTTAGAACTGTCCTGTATATAGGCTTGTCGCCCTGACAAATATGAAAGCTGAAAAACTACCAGCTGTCCCATATCCCACTAAGTCCTGTATCTAAGCTTTGTACCTTTTCTCCTCCATACAAAGAAAATCACTTTGTTATTATTTCAAAAGTTTTCTATTGGATTAACTACACTTTAGTCCCTAGAGGTTTAGTGTCAGTATCGAAATGGGCCCCAAAGTTTCAATTCAATCAATTTCATACCCGACATTTCCAAGTATTACCAATTTACACCCACCGTTACATTGACCGTTAAAGTCAGACGTTAAATGCTGACGTGGCAGTCGTGGGACCCACCTCATAACCAAACAGTAGTTAGAAAGAGACCAATATGGGACAAATAATATTAAAAAATTATTTATTTTTAAAGTTAATTAAAATCAATTATTTTAAATAAATAAAAAACATAATTAAAAAACCCTTCAAACTCCCCACCCGTCTCCTTCTTCCTTCTTCTCTCCACCCATCAAACCCTAAATCCAAACCCAGCATCTCCACCACCCACCCTTCTTCTTCCTCCTCCTTATCTTTCAAAAAAACAATTTAATAAAATGAAATGAATATACCCAGAGCGTTATGCCTGGAAGATTCACGCATCAAGTTGGCACAGAATTGGTCTCCATCGTTCAACGAGTTTTTACTCAAAAATTCCATCATCTCTTCATATGCCTCGGGGTTGTAACTCTGCTCTGGGAATTTACTCTCTCACATGTGGTTCAATCCAGTTATGCTAATTCACCCATATGCCCACCACCAAGACCCATACCCAGATCTGCAAGTGGCTAGAAATTTCCGGGTGATTGGGAGGTGCGATGGGCAATCGGGAGGGGCAATCAGGAGGTGCGAATTTCCGGGCAATCGAGAGGTCTTTGTCGACCTCGAAAACACAGGTGGTTGGGTCATCGTCAACCTTGAAAACTAAGCGACGTCGTCGCAGACCCATATGCCGAATCTGCCATACGTCTCCGACGACGCGCAGATCTCCTCCTCAGATCTATTGGCTAGGGCTCTGGTATTGGTTGGGGCTAGGAGGAGAGGACTGAGGGAGAATGAGGTGGTGGGTGGTGGGTGAGGAACGAAGGTGGGGATGTTGGAAGAGAAGGAGGAAGAAGAAGGATGGGTGGTGGAGATGCTGGGTTTGGATTTAGGGTTTGATGGGTGGAGAGAAGAAGGAAGAGGAAGAGGGATGAGTGGTGAAGATCTGGGTTTGGATTTAGGTTTGACAATAGGGTTTTTTAAAATCAATATTATGTATTATTATTATTGATTTTAACAATATTATTGATTTTTTTTAAAATGACATGTATTTACCTAAATCCAAACCCAATAATACATGTATTTACAATCAATATTATGTATTATTGATTTTAACAATAGTTTCATTGATTTTGCCAATCCGACAATATTTTTAAAATCAATATTATTATTATTGTCATTTTAATTATGTTTTTTTTATAAAAAATAATAATTGATTTTAATTAACTTTAAAAATAAAGAATTTTTTAATATTATTTGTCCTATATTAGTCTCTTTCTAACTGTTGTTTGGTTATGAGGTGGGTCCCATGACTGCCACGTCAGCATTTAACGTCTGACTTTAACGGTCAATGTAACGGCGGGTGTAAATTGGTAATACTTTGAAATGTCGGGTATGAAAATGATTGAATTGAATCCTTGGGGCCCATTTCGATACTGACACTAAACCTACAGGGACTAAAGTGTAGTTAATCCTTTTCTATTCATAGTCAAAGTTATTGTCCTAAACATTAAAACCAACATTTTTTAAACCTCTTCTCCCATAAACTAAAAGAGATGGACATGGATATTGATGAAACTAAAAGGTACAGCCTTTTTCTTTCTTTTTCCAGTACTCTGTGTTTTTATTGTTCTGGATTGTTGCCTTTGATGATAAGAGAACTTGACTTCATACGCTTTTAACATTACGAAAATTTTTGATATGAAAACACAACTTTTTAACACTGCTTTGAAATGAATTGACAAAGGTGGCGCAGTGGAAATAGGATTAAGAGGCTTATGAAAGACATATCCACTGGAACTTAAAAAAAAAGAAAAAAGAAGAAGATAGTTTTATGTTTTGACCGAGGTCACATTAGATAAGAATATTACACAAATGACTAGGGCATAGTTACATTAAAATGTGACAACTTAAGCACATTTCTTATTTCTTGGATCTTGAAACAAGGACACAAGAACGCCACGCTGCATTGCTCCTCGTAATCTTTTCAATGTCTCCACCTTTGATTTACGTGAACGTGTCTTTTATGATTACCAATTCTTTCCTCCAGCTGAGGGAATATCTTGACAAGGATATTATACATAGCTTTGTAATACCATTTACTCCATCTCTTGCAGAAAACAAGTGAACCAGTGGAAATTGCACAGCCAAATGCAAATCCAATTTCAACACTCAGAAGATCCCAATCAATCTCTTCATGTTCAGAATTTGGAAGGCCTCCATTCAATGTTGGTGGTGGTGACAATCCTGCTTTGTTATCATCCACTGTCAAAGGAGCTCCCCATAATCCTTTGTTTCCTGTAAATGAGTCTTTTGGAAATGTCGAAAACTGAGTACCGGCTGGGATTTTGCCAACCAATTGATTAATTGAGAGATTCAAGAATGAAAGGAAAGTAAGCTTTGCCAATTTTGGTGGAATGTGCCCGCTCAGGTTGTTATGTGACAGGTCTAAGGATTCGAGTTGTCGCATGTTACCAAATGAGGATGGGATTTCGCCTGTGAAAGCATTAGCGGACAAGTTGAGGATATATAGTGATTTGAATTCTCCTATTTCCTTAGGTATTGGTCCATTGAATTTGTTGCCCGAGAAGTCAATCAAGGTAAAGACAGCTAGAATCTTTGCCAGATCCATCTTTGAACCTTTGCTGGTAATTGTTATTGCATCCTCAAAAGAAAAAGCAACCTTGCCTCTCTCTTCGTCCTGTGAAAATTGTAGGTAATTGTCCAATGGAAGGGAATCACCTTTGTTAGCCATCATTGCTTGCCATGTTTTCAAATTTCTTCCTGGTATTTCACCACCAAAATGGTTGTGAGCTAGGTCTATGATTTGAAGCACCCCCCATGTCTCATAGGTCTTGGCAGTCTTGGGACATCCAATGCGTCCAAAAAACTTATTGGACCGAAGAACAAGGACTCGCAAACTGATTATGTCCATCAACAAGCATGGAAAGGTGTCTTTTATATGATTGTTTCCAAGGTTTAAGATCTCTAATAACATGCAGTTGGCTAGAGACTTTGGAAACTGGCCTTCTATCTGATTTCCACTGAGGTCCAGAGTTTGTAATAGAGATTGTTCGGGAAATCGAAAATTGGAAATGGTTCCAGTAAGGTTGTTTCTCCTTAAATTAAGTATTCGAAGAATGCCCGTGGTAGTCAAACATTCAGGAATCATGCCACTCAAAAAATTATCGGACAGATCAAGAAGGTCAAAACTTGCATTGCATAATGATGGTGGAATGAGGCCATGCAAGTTATTGCTTGAAAGAGATAAGAAGGAAATATTGGAAATGAAATTACCAATGTTAGGTGGTATACTAGAGCTGAAGTTATTTCTTGAGTAATCCAGATAACGGGCATTCCGCAGGAAAGTAAGGATTTGTCCTTGAAGTTGATTTGAATGAAGGTCAAGCTCCCTCACAATGTCAGTAGTATTAAGGAAATGAGCTTCTAGAGTGACAAAGTAGTTGCAAGAAAGATTTAGGGAAGGGACACTCCAAATCCAATTGGGTATCTTGTTGGAAATTTGGCTCACCTAAGGATACAAAGTCCTCTTTTGTGTGCTATGGATTTCTACCTAAATTCCATGACATGGTTGACTCATTTCTAGAAGAATTTTGGAGTTGCCCATGTGAGTAAATATTGGCTTGCCATCTTTGTCAAAAATAGGTGACTTGTTTGGTGGCACAAAATGGTGGAATGTTTGGTAGCCATCCATGGTTAAGTTTGGTAGCCAACATTTGAATAGTGTGAGGTTGCATTCACACTCTTGCATATTTGGCTATATAAAGGGGTTTACCATGCAAGAAGAAAATCATGGCTTAAGAGTTCTCTAGTGTGGTTAGTCGCTCCAGTCGTGCTGTGATGCTTTGCTTACGTATTTTCAACTGTCTTTTCAATGGCTATCGCTTTCCACAAGTTTGCAGGTGCTTAATGGGTCACTTCTGAGGTAAATGAAGGTTGACTACTTGCTGGATAGTTGGGAGAGCACTCATGGCTAATTGGTTATCTTGTTTTGAATAATCTCCTCTCCATTTTCTGGTTTAATGGAGGTGGCTGAGTGAGATTGTATTACCTACCTGATCTGACCCTTAGTCTAAGTGGTGACTAAAAGGAAAGAACGTGGAGGACAATCAGATATCCTATCTCTTGTCCATTGGCTTGTGTAGGTAATGGGATGAAGTAAGATAACACAAGGGAGAAAGAATGTTGAACTAATGTAGTGGCAAAAGCTGGAAACAAGTTAGAGTTTCTTGTGAGAGCTTTGTTTCAGAAAAGCCAAGGGTGAGAGCAAGAGAGTTCTCTAAGTGTATCAAGGTGTTGAGCAAGGGTGTGAGAGAAACAGATTGTGAGGGTAGTGTTCTAAGGGGGTTTCCTTTGTAAACCAAAGTTGTAACCTATCTTCATTAGTGAAATTTCTCAAGGTGATCACCAAAGAGGATGTAGGCAATTTGCTGAACCTCTATAAACACTTGTGTCATTTGTGCTTGGTTAATTTCGTGTGTGTGTGTAAGACTCATCCATCATTGAGTTCTTTGTCTTAAGTCCATCAACAACAAGATCTTAAAAGGGCAGTGAGTTAGTCTTTAATTCACAACAGCTTAGGCAACATGCGACAGCTTGAGTCCTTGGACCTGTCGCAGAACAAGCTGAGCGGGCACATTCCACAACAGTTGACAAAGCTTACTTTCCTCGCATTCTTGAATCTCTCAAACAATCAACTGGGAGGCATGATCCCAACCAGTAATCAGTTTTCAACATTTCCACCATCCTCCTTTACAGGTAACAAAGGATTATGGGGACCTCCTTTGGACAACAAAACAGGATTGCCACCACCACCAACACGGAATGGAAGCCTTCCGGATTCTGGATCTGGACATAATGAGATTGATTGGAATCTTATTAGCATCGAAATCGGATTTACATTTGGGTGTGCAATTGCCATTGGGTCACTCGTGTTCTGCAAGAGATGGAGTAAATGGTATTACAGAGCTATGTATAGCATCCTTGTCAAGATATTCCCTCAGCTGGAGGAAAGACTTGGTAACCATAGAAGACATGTTCACATAAATCAAAGGTGGGGACGTTGAAATAGCTATGAGGAGCCATGCAGCTGGCCTCCATGTTATGCCTTGGAATATTTTAGTGTGTATCTTTCTGCTCTGTTTTCAATAAATTTACTTGGCTCTGATGGCATTCGAAGGACGAAATTTCCCGCCCACTTTCCCCGCTGCTTTCTTTCAGCACTTTAATTAGTCAGTCAACGATAGTAACCAAAAAAATGAAAATGGAAAGGCAGCATTGAACAGAACAGTCTACTTATGCTAAGTCCCAACCAGCTACATGTTAGATTGTAGCCCCACTAGACAGATGGAGAAAGACTGAAAAGTCAAATAGTCAAGCAACCCATAAATCTTGTGGGGGATACTAAGAACCCACTGTATATAATATATCCATTAGCTCAGCTGTCTGTTATTTTCAGTCCCTCAATCCAAATTTCCCACTTGCCTGAGTTGCTACAATTACTTGACTTAGTTGGAGCTGATGCTGTTATATTTTTCATAATAGTAATTGTAATAACTCATGCCATTGTTCTCGTTAAATTATAGCTTAGTTGGTCAATGTTAAAAAAATTGACTTCGAAGTCAAGCCTGCATACTAAGTCCCAACTTCATGTTAGACTGTAGCCCCACTAGACAGATGGAGAAAGACTTCAAAGTCAAATAGTCAAGCAACCCATAAATCTTGTGGGGGATACTAAGAACCGACTGTATATAATATATCCATTAGCTCAGCTGTCTGTTATTTTCAGTCCCTCAATCCAAATTTCCCACTTGCCTGAGTTGCTACAATTACTTGACTTAGTTGGAGTTATATTTTCCATAATAGTAATTGTAATAACTCATGCCATTGTTTGAGTTAAATTATAGCTTAGTTGGTCAATGTTTAAAAAATTCTGGTTTGGCTTTGAATGGGTAGTAACACACTGAGAATTTGTGGTCTGGAATCTGGTTTTGCTTTAAAATTTTGATTCTTTGCACTAAACAGAGCTAAGGGGAATATGAATGACCCAATTTTCGGTTTCGTGGACTGTGTTTCTAGTGAGTTTCCTTGGCATTCAATTTCTTCCCCTTGGCTCTCATACAACAGTCAATAGGGATCAAAATGGAAATAGCAAGGCAATTGCCACTTCCAAGTTTTTCTAATTTGTGTTAGACTTAAAAGGCCTCAGAGGTGACGGTTCCAAGTCCCTGTCTGCTACATGCGGTGCTGCTCAACTCCCTTTTCCTTCCCTTTCATTTGTCCTCATTACTGAAAATGAAAATGTATGGTGTTTGGGCCCAAATCCCGCGCGCCAGGACAAGTTGGCAGGGGCCCATATCAGGAGAAGGACTTTTTGGGCTTTATTTTAAAAATGCAGATATCAGCCCGGATAGTTTTAGATAGCCCAAACCTTTGAGGACCAGTTAAACATAAATGGGCTCAGTTTCAAAAAATCTCCAAGAAACCAAAGAATGAATCACTACCGTTGATCAAATCAAAACCAAAAGCAGATATTATGGAAAGTTTCTCTTCCAAAGAAAGGCCCGTGTGAAGGAGAAAGTCAAAAATCTCAACTAGGAAGTGACGGGGAGTTAATGAAAGTAGGTTAACCAGAAAAACACTCCTCATAAACCATTCAAAATGATCATAAGGAAAGGACAGCCAAGTTGCCCTTCTACACTCACAGAAGGCTCTACGTTGAAACAAATTGAAACAGAATCTGTTTCTCAAGAAATGAAACAGGAGACAAGAAAGTTGTTCGCCAGGAAAGCTAGGAAAAGACCACCATAGAGTTCAACTGTTGATGGTTTCAGTTCTGCCAGAACAATAAATTCCCCTTTTTTAGGGCATTAGAGAAAAGGAAAATCTTTTCAAAGATCTGCCACCCAGTTTTAAAAGTTTTAAATAAACTCTCATTCCATAGTTCTCTATAAATATGAGGTGGTGAACAGATTAAGAGACAGCCAAAAAATCAATCAAGACAAAACTCTCAGACTATATTGACAAATTCGAAAGAACAAAGTCATTCAAATCTCAAAAGCCTTCAGACTCTAAAGCAATCAAATCAAACAACTAGAACTTGGTTCATTCCAATTCAAGAGAAACATTTTCACAAATGAAACAAGACTTTTCTTGTTATAAATTTGGTTCAGCATAGGCCAATTCAAGCAGAATTCGAGTTTTTCATAATATGAAAACCTCAACAAATTTACAGGAAATTTCCAGGTGCTCAGAATTGCCAAAATAGCTTTTGCTTAAGTCACAATCAAGCAAACAGGTGCTGTGATGCAGCTCCAGGCAAGCAATCATCAATCCAGCCATCTTCCACTCAACTCAAGTTGAAGTAATACCATTTTCTGCCCAGCCAGTCGGCCTCTCCATGGCCAAAACATATTAAAGCTCTGCCAATTTCGACATTGGTATCAATTTCCAACTGAACCTCATCGGTTGAAGATACTGACGTGCAATCCCAGTATAAATGAATCTAGTCCAGCCCGGTTCACCAAAACAGACAGACGTCAATGTCCAGTGTTCTGCCTTTCCAGACTTGGCAGGTTTTCTCTGTTCTAATTTTGCTCAATAGTTAGTTTGTGTTTATTATTTCAAATAGTTTGAACTCATTTTTCAGTTTTTTATTTTGGCTAGAACTGCCAGTTTTTGTACTGTGAAAAATTGTGAAGTCCTCACCAGTCTGAGGCAAGAAAAAGAACTTACTTGGGAGATATTCCTCACCCAAATTCACAATTGCTTAGGGCGCAAGTTATCTATTTTTAAAAGTCTGCTAGGGTTCTAAACCGCCAGCAGTGGCAAGCTCATACCCAAAATAAAGTTGACTTGTTGACCATAAATGGTTTTCGAGCCAATGAAAAACTTTACCATACCATCACAGGATCATATAAAAAACGGGTGAACAGATGGGATGGGAGAAGACTTCAAAGTCAAGCAAGCAACAACCCTCAACAAGGAAGCCTCTTCCCAATCCCACCATATTAAAGCCACCACAACCCTTCTCAATTTCTTCATCACTTCCCCTGTTCAGCAACTCTAAAACCAGATAGTTTTATCCAAAATGAAAACTTTCCTCCAATATTTCTTCCTCTTATTCTTAAATATCACTACTATAACAATCTGTGGTAAAACCATCCCTTCAGTTCACAGCCGCTGTATTAAAGACCAACAACTATCATTGCTCCATTTGAAGAAAAGCCTTATATTTAATGGAGATTCTTATGATTCATACCCTACCAAGGTTATATCATGGAATTCGAGTACCGACTGTTGCTCTTGGCTTGGTGTTACTTGCAGTACTCATGGGTGTGTTGTTCGTCTTTGTTAAATTTAATACACACTTGAAGAATTTAGAAAATTCTAGAAAAAAATAGAAAACTCAAGCAATGTCCAACAACTTTGACAACGTCAAGTTTTAAGAGATAATTGTTGTAAGCTTCTAGAAAAGTCCTAATAAAAATCTTGTAATAAGGTAATATTATATTGTAAACTAGTGGCTATGAGAAGAAGCCAAGTTCACCAACTTGGACAATGGCGGCAGCCTTAGTCTATAAATAGGTGTTGCCTCTTGTACAAAGCTAAGGGTGAAAAGGTCAATAAGCCTAGTAAACAGTTTCTAGTTGTTAAAGGCCAATAAGCCGAGTGCTCTATAAAGCCTTGTACTCATCCATTGTTGAATAAATAAAATCACTCTTTTGTCCTTCTGAAAAACCAACAAGTGGTATCATAGCAAAGTTCGATCACCTTGGGTGTAAGGGTTCGATATAGTCCTCCATCATGTCTACCGCTAGCCAAACTTCTATCCCATTTCCAATCTTTACTGGAGAAAACTATGATTTCTGGAGCATCAAAATGAAGACCTATTTTATGTCTCAAGATTTATGGGACATAGTTGATAGTGGCTTCAATAATCCAGAAAATCCAATTGTGGAACGGTTAAAGCAACAAAAGAAAGATCAGCAGAAGGATGCAAACGCTCTATTTGCACTGCAACAAGCTTTGGATGACACTATTTTTCCAAGGATCATGGGAGCCACAACATCAAAGGAAGCACGGGATACTTTGAAGGAGGAGTTTCAAGGAAATGCCAAGGTACGTGCAGTTAAACTACAAACTTTAGGTCAGCATGTTGTTGTGCATTTCTGTCATTGTCTTTCTCTTCTGCAGAGTTTGGTTCGGTCCCCCCTGTTGTTCTTTTATGTTTTTGTTTCTTATTAATAAATTATGATCAAGGGGATGGGCGGGGGGCTTCCAGAGTGTTGGTCCCCTCTTTGAGGGTGGTGGATGTTTGTGCATCCGATGACCAATACTGAGGAGTTAATCTCACCAAATCCTTTGGTTTATTTTTATTTTTATTTTTATTTTAAAAAAAAATACTACAAACTTTGAGAAGAGATTTTGAAAACATTAAAATGAAAGATTATGAGACCACACAAGAGTACTATGCTAGAGTAAAAGAAATAATCAATCAATTGAGAGTCTATGGAGAAAAAATTTATGATTCAAGAATTGTAGAAAAAATACTTATCAGTCTCACTGATAAGTATGATCCACTAGTAACTGACATTGAACAGACAAAAGATATAACTAGTATGTCAGTAACAGAATTAATGGGCTCTCTAGAAGCATATGAAAAAAGAATGAGTAGGCGAAATGAAAGTCCAGTAGAAAGTGCATTCCAGTCGAAACTAAATTTAAGGTCTCAGAATTCTAAAGATGGTGAAAGAAAATTTGAAGAAAATTCTAGAGAAGTTGAAAATGAACCCAACAATAATTGGGAAAATAAAAGAGAAATTGTGGAGAGGAAAGACGATTCTCCGTGTCGGGTATGCAAAAATACAAGCCACTAAGAGAAAGATTGTTGGTACCGAGGCATACCAAAATGCTGGAACTCCAAAAGATTTGGGCATATGGAAAAAGATTGTCGATTCAAGAAAAACTATCAAGCTAACTATAAATAGGTGTTGCCTCTTGTACAAAGCTAAGAGTGAAAAGGCCAATAAGCCTAGTAAACAGTTTCTAGTTGTTGAAGGCCAATAAGCCTAGTGCTCTATAAAGCCTTGTACAGTTGCACTCATCCATTGTTGAATAAATAAAATCACTCTTTTGTCCTAAAAAAACCAACAGTCTTGACCTTAGCAGAGAATCTATCTCTAGTGGCATTGACAATTCCAGTAGTCTCTTCCATCTTCAACATCTTCAAAGCCTCAATTTGGCCGATAACATGTTTGGCTATGGCTCTCGCATTCCGTCAGCAATCGGAAAGCTTACCAACTTGAGGTATCTAAATTTATCATATAATGGTTATTCTGGGCAAGTTATTCCCATTGAGATTTCACGCTTGGCAAGGTTAGTTATCCTTGATATATCTAATATGTATGACAATGGTGATCCAATACTTGAGAGCCCGAATTTAAGCATGCTCTTGCTGAAACTCACAGCGCTTACAGAGCTATATCTTGATGGAGTAAGTATCCCAGCACATGGTACTCACTGGTCCCAAGCAATATCATCTTCACTGCCAAACCTGAGTGTGTTGAGCACTCTCTATCCGTGAATAGATTGTATCATAATTACCTAATCTCTGGTCCAATTCCAGGATTTCTTGCCAACTTTTCAAACCTGAGGGAGTTCAACTAGGGTGGCAACAATATTTCCGGACCAGTTCCATTATTCTTTTCCAATTTCCCGAAGTTGACTTCCTTGAATCTCGTGGCATGTGAGTTGTGCGGGACATTTCCCAAACAGATCTTTCAGGTGCCTACTCTACAAACTATTGACCTTGCGGCTAATGGTGAACTTCATGGTTCCTTGCCAAAATTTCCAAAGAATGGATCTCTTAGGTCCTTGGATCTAAGCTTTACCAACTTTTCAGGGTTAATGCCAGACTCTATTGGCAACCTCAAAATGCTCTTCACGATAAATCTTTTCACATGTAGTTTCACGGGATCCTAAAGTCACTGGAGAACCTAACACAATTGGTTTATTTGGACTTGTCGTCAAACATGTTCAATGGTCCAATTAGTTCTATCCACTGGGAGAAGCTTAGTAATCTGGTACATCTCCAGTTGAATGACAATCTACTTGAGGGGAGTATTCCGTCGTCTCTCTTTTCTCTTCCCTTATTGCCAGAGCTAGTACTTTCCGACAATCAATTCTCAGGTAAACTCAGCGAGTTTCCTAACATCTCTTCCTACTTAGTTACCCTTAATTTTAGCTTCAACAATTTGGAAGGACAAATGCCTGTGTCTATCTTTAATTTTCGAGGCCTCGAATCACTTCATCTTTCTTCCAACAATTTCAGTGCCTTTCCGTTGATGGTCTTCAACACTCCTTATATGTTGAATACAATACTAGTCACGATTGCTTCAAGCTCACTAGGAAACACACCCAAAACGCATTTATTACATAAGATATAGGTGTTGAAGTTCCTATAAATTACATGATTACCACTAATTAACTTTAAAAAGGCCCAACACAAAAAACTAAAAAATGGCCCTCAACAGCTGAAAAATCTTACAAACATTGACCTTTCGTACAATAGCTTGATGAGTTTATACAATGGTACTGATTCCTCATATTCCTCATTTCCTCAAATTGCTTCATTGAATTTGGCTTCTTACAAATTGAGAACAATCCCAAATTTCTTGAGAAATCAATCTGCATTATTCTCTTTGGACCTTTCAGAAAACCAGATTGACGGCAAGATACCCCTTTGGATTTGGAGTTTCAAATATCTTTATGACTTAAATCTCTCTTGTAACTCCTTAGGAAAGGAACTCTAGAAGCTCCTTTCTTTAATCTTGATGTTCGTGAGCTTGACCTTCATTCAAACCAACTCTGGGGGAAACTCCCAATTTTCCTACCAAATGCCTACTATTTTGATTAATCAGAAAATAATTTCAGCTGTATCATACCAACTAGCATTGGTGATTTCCTCACTTCCGATACTTCCTTCCTATCTCTTTCAAGCAATAACTTGCATGGCCACATTCCAGTGTCAATATGCAATGGGGGTCTTCGGGTGCTTGATCTATCCAATAATTCTCTCAGTGGCATGATTCTACAATGCTTGTCTACAAAAGCAATTATTGGAGCACTTAATTTAAGGAGAAACAACCTTACTAGAACTATTTCTAATTTTGAATTTCCAGAGTATTGTGAATTAGACACTCTAAACCTGGGTGAAGATCATATAGAAGGTCAGTTTCCAAAATCTCTAGCCAACTGCACAGGTTTACAGGTTTTAAACCTTGGAAAGAACCATCTAGCAGATGCTTTTCCATGCTTGTTGAAGAACATATCCACTTTACGTGTCCTTGTTTTGCAGTCCAACAAATTCTACGGACGCAATGAATGTCCTAAGACCAATGGCACCTAGCCAATGCTTCAAATCATAAACCTAGCTCACAACAATTTCAGTGGTGAAATACCAAGAAGATCTTTGACAACATGGCAGTCAATGATGGCTAACAAAGGTCAAATTCTTAGAATTTTCACATGAATCAGGGAGAGACAGGGTTGGTTTTTCTTTTGAGGATGGTATAATAGTTACCAGCAAAGGTTCAGAGATGGATCTGCTAAAGATTCTATCTATCTTCACCTTGATTGACTTCTCATGCAACAATTTCAGTGGAACAAAGGAAATTGGAGAATTCAAATCACTATATGTCCTTAACTTGTCCGGAAATGCAATGACAAGGGAAATCCCATCCTCATTTGGTAACATGAGGGTACTCGAGTCCTTAGACCTGTCACAGAACAAACTGAGTGGGCAAATTCCACCACAGTTGGCAAAGCTGACTTTCCTTTCATTCTTAAACCTCTCAAACAATCAACTGGGAGGCAGGATCCCAACCAGTACTCAGTTTTCAACATTTCCAAAAGCCTCCTTTACATGTAACAAAGGATTATCAGGGCCTCCTTTGACGGTCGATAACAAATCAGTATTACCACCACCGACAGTGAATGGAAGCCTTCCAAATTTTGGACATCATCATGAGATTAATTGGGGCATTATCAATGTCGAGATTGGTTTTACATTTGGCTTTGGAGTTTCCATTGGGTCACTTGTGTTGTGCAAGAGATGGAGTAAATGGTATTACAAGTAAGTTTCAATAATTGGGATTTAAGCATATCAAAGGGGGAGACGTTGAAAGGATTATGATTTTTTTTCTTCTTGTGTAAGTTTCAATAATTGGGATTTAAGCATATCAAAAGCCCAGGTTACAAATGTTGGAAAATTGGCTCGCATAAGGGATACAAGCTTTTGGAGAAGCGACCAGTCGTTTATGGGCAGATTGCAAGTCTGGAACGAAAACAGCGAGCAATCGGTCCCCAGCTTCACACGACCGGTCACTGAAGAGAAAATTTGACTCTGTGCAAAAGCGACCGGTCGCCCTGGTCGTGTTGTTTCGTTTTTTGGGAAAATTCAACTCCTTTATCCGGGTGCTATCGCTTTCTACCTACTTGCAAGGTCATTTTAGGTCACTCCAGACTTAAATGAAAGGGGGCAAGCTGCTGGGAAGTTGAGAGAGCATTTAAGGACAGTTGTTGACTTGTTTCAAAGAGTACCTACTCTATGGTTCTATATAGGGTGGCTGAACATGTAGCCATTAATGTATAGCCTTTGGTCTGCCCAACCTGTGGTCCATTTCAGGTAATCAAGGGCAGAACGTGGGAGGAAAGAAGGAGTCTTTTCTCAAGTCCAAAGACTTGTCTATTAAAGGGAAGAGGAAGCAAGACAGCAAGAGAGAGGTGAAGTAGCTGGAAACTAGTGAGTCAAGTGAAAACCAAAGGGAAGAGAGAGTTCTTTAGTGTATCAAGGTGTTGAGCAAAGGGTGTGAGAGAAACAGATTGTGAGGGTAGTGTTCTAAGGGGGTTTCTTCTGTAAACCAAAGTTGTAACCTATCTTCATTAGTGAAATTTCTCAAAGGGATCACCAAAGAGGATGTAGGCAAATTGCTGAAAGTCTATAAACACTTGTGTCATTTGTGCTTGGTTTATTTTCTGAGTGTGTGTGTGTAAGACTCATCCATCATTGAGTTTTGTCCAAAGTCCATCAACAACAAGGTCTAAAGGGGAGTGAGTGAGTTCTAATTCACAACAACAAATGGGACTTAAATTTTACTTTTATTACTTGTTATGAATTATTCAAATTGTTTTGTTTAAGAAACAGAACTTTTACAAACACGGTCCTTATTTTCTAATTACATTCCAAGAAGAAGAAGAATAATATTTGACCCAAAACTATACACGTGCTTGCCAAGTTCTCGGCTAGTTTTTCTTTGTTATAAATGGCTCAAATTCATCCCACCTTATCAATATTATCAAAATTCTTTCAACAATGATTGATTATTTAACTGAAAATTTTATATCAACAATGATTGATTGAACTTAATATATATCAATCAATCTTTGAAAGTTAATAGAATTATAAAACACTACAGTAGTATGATCACGTGTACATTTTGTATACGTGTTATAATATGGGTGTACGATATTGTTTGTTTTTCTCTCTTTTAGGGAATAGTATTAATAAATATCCATTTATATTATAGGGAGTTTATAACACGTGGCAGTACTACCATAGTATTCTATAATCACTCTGAAAGTAGAGAGTTATTGCAAAATAAAAAAGAAAGAAAATTAATAAATTAGATGGGTTATGGACCAACTGAGTTTGATTATGGACCGCACACAAAAGACATGACCCATGAACCGGCCCAAGTTAATCCATGATTAGTCTGTCATGAAACGGTGCGTTTTCAATCTCCCGCTCCCGGGGTTTTTTCTTTGAAACACTGGAGTGTAGACTCTAGCTGAACCAAGCAATTTCACAATTCAAACTTTATCAATATTTTCATGAACTCTATATCTTCAGCTTTATCAATATTTTCATCTTCCAACCCAGAAATTCATCGACTTATTCAATAGTCAATAGTCCCCTAATTGTGATAGAGCCCTTAAGTAGATGGCAAAAGACTTCAAAGTCAACAACTCAAGCAAACCACAAATGTTGTGGAGACATTTTCCACAAATTCAATTCAAAGCCACCATATCCATCACTATCTCAGTTTTCCTCAGCGTCTCTATTTCCACGACTGCTGAAGCCACATTTGCAAACTAATATCCCAGCCTATTCTGTGCTTCAACACAATTGCTGTCACATATCAGCAGCCAGCTAGAGCTTCCAATGAGAATTCCTCTGTTTTCATGGCTTTTCTTAATCCTTATTCACTATGTTTCACTCAGCGTCCATGTATTTGTGGTCTCTAGTCAATGTCCCAGCGAGGATCAGCAATCTTTGTTGCTTCAATTGAAGAACAGCCTCAAATTTGACTCTGCAAAATCTAACAAACTTGTGCAGTGGAAAAATGGCTCAGATTACTGCTCTTGGGAAGGTGTGTCCTGCAAAGATGGATGTGTTTCTCATCTCGACTTAAGCAGCGAGTCAATTTCGGGAGGACTTGATAATTCAAGTGCTCTTTTTGATCTGCAGTACATCGAGAACCTGAATTTGGCTTACAATAACTTCAACAATACTCAGATTCCACCCAAGTTCGACAAGCTGACCAATTTGAGTTATCTGAACCTGTCAAATGCTGGCTTTGTGGGGCAGATTCCAATTGAGATTTCACAGCTGACGAGGTTGGTAACTCTTGATTTATCTACCTTTTTTTACTTTCCCGGAACTCCTTCACTGCAACTTGAGAATCCAAATTTGAATGTACTCCTTGGCAATCTTTCTGAGCTTGTTGAACTCCATCTTGATGGTGTGAATATATCAGCACATGGGGCTCAGTGGTGCCAAGCTATATCATCTTCACTGCCAAAGTTGAGGGTGTTGAGCTTGTCCACTTCTAATATTTCAGGCCCTTTTGATATTTCCTTACTGAAGATTCACTCACTCTCAGTCATTCGTTTAGATTACAATGATTTGTCTACTGAAGTTCCAGAGTTCTTCTCAAATTTCACAAATTTGACTTCCTTGAGCCTCAGGTGTTCTGGATTACATGGTGCATTCCCAAAGAAGATCTTCCAGCTACCTACACTACGTACTATTGACTTGTGGGGTAATCAACAGCTTCAAGGTTTTTTACCAGAATTTCCAAAGAATGGATCACTTCGTTCCTTGGTTCTAAGTGGGGCCAATTTTACAAGGTTTTTTCCAAACTCTATGGGCGACCTCAAAATGTTGTCCAGAATAGATGTTTCAAGTTGCAATTTCACTGGATCAATCCCAAGGTCAATGGAAAACCTTACACAATTGGTTTCTGTGGACCTCTCATGGAACAAGTTCAATGGTTCTATTCCATTCTTCAGTATGGCCAAGAATCTGACCCTAATAAATCTTTCATCCAATCTTCTAACAGGTCAGATTAATTCCTCTCACTGGGAAAACCTTACTAATCTAGTGAATCTCGACTTGAGATTCAATCTACTTGATGGGACTATTCCACCGTCTCTGTTTTCTCTTCCCATGCTGCAGAAACTACAGCTTTCTAACAATCAATTCTCTGGTCAGTTGCTTGAATTTGCTACTATCTCTGTATTGGACACCCTTGATTTGAGTAGCAACAATTTGGAAGGGCCTATACCCATGTCTATCTTTAATCTACGAGGGCTTTTGATTCTTTCACTTTCTTCAAACAATTTCAGTGGCTCCTTTCCACTTAATGGTCTTCCACAACTGAAAAATCTTTCGAGTCTTGATCTTTCATACAGTAGTTTGTCAATTGATTACAATGATACCAATTCACCTGCCACTTCCTTTCCTCAAATTACCACATTGAACTTGGCATCTGTCAAGTTGAGAAGATTCCCAGATTTCTTAAGAAACCAATCCTACTTGAGCATTTTGGACCTTTCACAAAACCAGATTCATGGAGAGATACCCAACTGGATTTGGAGGCTCAATAATCTTTCTGAACTAAATCTTTCTTGCAACTCTCTGGAAACTCTAGAAGGTCCTCTCCTCAATGTTACTTCTAGTTTGTCTGTCCTTGACCTTCATTCCAACCAGCTTAAGGGACCAATCCCACTTTTTTCACAATTTTCCGTTTATCTAGATTATTCAAGAAATAACTTTAACTCTAGCATCCCGACTGACATTGGTGATTTCCTTTCTTATACTATATTCTTCTCTCTTTCAAGCAATAAATTTCCTGGAAGCATTCCAGTATCTATATGCAATGCAACAAATCTTCAGGTTCTTGATGTTTCAAATAATTCTCTCAGTGGCTTGATTCCCCAGTGTTTGACTGCAATGAGCGGGACTCTTGCAGTACTTAATTTACAGAGGAATAAACTTTCTGGCATCATTCCTGATAAATTTCCTAGGAATTGCAATTTAAAAACCCTAAAGCTCAATGAAAATCAAATAGAAGGTCAGTTTCCGAATTCTCTAGCCAACTGCACAATGTTAGAGGTTCTAAACGTTGGAAACAATAGGATAACAGATACCTTTCCTTGCATGTTGAAGAGCATATCCACCTTGCGTATCCTTGTTTTGCGATCAAACAAATTTTATGAGCACATTGGATGTCCCAATACCAATGAAACCTGGCCAATGCTTCAAATTGTTGACATAGCTCACAACAACTTTATTGGTGAAATACCAGGAAGATACTTGAGAACCTGGCAAGCAATGATGGCTCACAAAGATGATGCTATGTCAAATCATTTTCGATATGAAGTCCTAAAATTCACCGAGGTATATTTCCAGGATGCTATAACTGTTACCAACAAAGGTCTAGAGATGGAGTTGGTAAAGATTCTAACTGTCTTCACCTCGATTGACATGTCGTGCAACAAGTTCAATGGATCAATACCTGGAGAATTGGGAGAACTGAAATCACTCTATGGCCTCAACTTGTCGAATAATGCTCTCACCGGCACAATCCCATCATCATTAGGTAACCTGCGACAACTTGAGTCGTTAGACCTCTCAAAAAACAGCCTGAGGGGGCCAATTCCACAAGAGGTTGGGGGTCTTACTTTCCTATCGTTCCTGGATCTCTCAAACAATCAACTGGTCGGGCAGATCCCAGTCAGTACTCAGATTTCAACATTTCCAGCAGCATCCTTTGCAGGTAACAAAGGACTATGGGGGCCTCCTTTGACGGTGGATAACAAAGCAGGATTGTCACCACCAGCAGCGTTAAATGGAAGTCTTCCAAATTCTGGCCATCATGGGATTAATTGGGATCTTATCAGTGTTGAAATTGGATTTACACTTGGTTTTGGATTTTCCATTCTGTCACTTGTGTTGTGCAAGAGATGGAGTAAGTGGTATTACAGAGCTATGTATAACATCCTTCTCAAAATATTCCCTCAGCTGGAGGAAAGAATTGGTATTCATCGAAGACATGTTCACATAAATCAAAGGTGGAGACGTTGAAATGATTATGAGGAACAATGCAGCTGGAATCCATGTTTTGCCTAAGGTATTTTGAGATCAAAGAAATCAGAAGTGTGCTTTCTGGTTTCATAGTTAATTTAATTGTGCTCCAGTTAGTCTTGGAATATCATGTATCTTTTATATTTTATTTTTGTGGCATGTAGCAAACATTACATAAATTCACGTATCAGCAAATCATTACTAACTACTTGTGGACAGACCCTACCCGCTGCGTTTGGTATTGCAGTGTGGTAAAGCAAAATGACCTTCTATTATCTTGTATATTTAAAGTAATGGACTTCTCACAGCAGATCATCATCCTTTATTGTCTTTTCAAATCAACGAGCTGGGCTTGTTCAACTTATGCCCAGTCGAAACAAAATGTTAGCTTGTTTCTTTGAGTTTGTACTCAAATGTTTAATCTGAGCTTGTTCAAAACAAAATGCTTATCTTGTTTCTTTCAATTTGCCTTCTTGTGAAGTTTCAACGGATGGGATTAAACCGTCTCGACTCGAAAGCCATGAAAAAAGAAAAACAAATAAGCAACAAGAGCATTACTATCTGCTACATATATCTGAGATTTACAGTCCCTTAGTTAAGCTTCAGATTTCAGATTCTGTTCACCCGTTTTGATTTATTTCCTGAGATGACAGGGCAAAGTTCCCCATTAATTCAAAGACCATGTTTTGGTCAGTGAATTAACTTTCTTTATGTGTTGAGCGTGCCACTGTTAGCAATTTTTCAACCCTAACAGACTTATGGTAAAAATAACTTGCGCCCCAAGCTACTAACTTTGACCAAACGATTGTGAATTTGGGTGAGGAATATCTCCCAAGTAAGTTCTTTTCTATGCCTTAGACTGGTAAGGACTTTTACAATTTTTCTCAGTACGAAAACCGGTAGTTCTGACCAGAATGAAAGATGACAAATTGAACCAATTTCAGGCAGAACTCCCTTTTACAAGACTCAAAAAGGGAAAAACTAACTATACAAGGACAAGAAGAGTGCCGTGCTTCCATTTCTGTCTGGATAGTTGCCTCTGTTCTGGGCTGGACTGGGTACGCCTGTGCTGGACTGGACTTTTAACAACTTCAACTGCTAGGCTTCAGCTGCAAATCGATACCAAAGCTTGAGTTTGGCAGAGCTTTAATCTATTTCGAACCCTGGAAGGCTTTT